TTTGTTGGATATATTCTCATGCGTTTGTGACTCTTGAATAAGTGGCTTCGTAAGAAGCATTTCAAGGTCCTGGAGTGGCCTAGCCAGTCTCCAGATCTCAACCCCATAGAAAACCTTTGGAGGGAGTTGAAAGTCCGTGTTGCCCAGCGACAGCCCCAAAACATTACTGCTCTAGAGGAGATCTGCATGGAGGATGGGCCAACATACAGCAACAGTGTGTGCCAACCTTGTGAAGACTTACAGGAAACATTTGACCTCTGTCATTGCCAACAAAGGATATATAACAAAGTATTGAGATGAACTTTTGATATTGACCAAATACTTATTTTCCACCATAATTTGCAAAACAAAATTCTTTCCAAATCAGCCAATGTAATTGTTTGGATTTTTTTTCTCATTTTGTCTCTCATAGTTGAGGTCTACCTATGATGCCAATTACAGGCCTCTCTCATCTTTTTAAGTGGGAGAACTTGCATAATTGGTGGCTGACTAAATACTTTTTTGCCCCACTGTATGTTCTGGTAAGAGTCCTACCATTTTCTGGTGGTGGAGCACTAATTTAATTGAAGACATGTGGTGATCTACTGCATGGTTCAATATACTGGGACTATTTTCACATTTGGACTTATTTATATTATCACGTATAAGGTTGCCTTAGTTGCGACATTTGAGCACAGCAATTTATTTATAATATTTGTATACAATTGACCTGATTGTCTTGCCAGCAGCTTTTTTCATTTATTCACTATTTGAGCAGCTTTTTTTGTTTCTTTTTGTTAAAAAAAGATGAGACACCTTTGGAAAAATTCTTTAGATTAGACACCTTTGGAAAATATCTTTGTTTTAAAAAAAAGTTCTATGATATCAATCAAATCATCCGGTGATGTAGATCCATCACCAAACACAGAGAGTGATGCCCCAATGACCTACCAACATACCTATGATGGCCCATGCACGATGATTCTCTCTCCCTTGACTCCTATGATTTCAAGAAATTGTGTATTTATTTCAATATTTTTGAGCTGTATCTGTATATCCTCAGCAATGTAAAAACAATCATAATTAAATAAATGAATCAATGTGAAAGTCCACTAAAACCATATGTGAAAATACAAATAAAAAAGACCCAAAAGAATGATCAGCTTGAAGTGTCACCAGTGAGTTCTACCACCATGTCGCACACAGCCCCTTACCAGTAAATCAGACCCAAAATTCTAGGTGGTCTATAAGTGCAAAAGAAAACAAATGACAGCCTCCAATCCACTACTGGAGGCCATTAGTTGCCTTCTTTTGCCAGATTAACGTCTATGGAGCGAAAGAGGTGAAGGAATTAAGTCTCCTTGTTGGTGTGCCCTGTGGTTCCCTAATAACTGGATACATTGGCTGCAGCAAACTCCACTCACCTCACCTCAGAACACTATATTTGGAGTCTGAGGGTAAGGGGCTGTGGGCAAGGGGGGTCTGATGATCAGGTAAGGGGCATGGTGGTAGAACTCACTGGTGATACTTCAAGCTGATCATTCTATTGGATAGATTATTTGGGACCTTACATTTTATATATGGTTTTGATGAACTTTCATGTTGATTTATTTTTTTAATTATGCAACAGTGCAACAATATTGCAACAAATAGGTTTAACCACTTGTAGTTTGCTGTTTTTGAGTGCAGCTGTAATAACATTTATGGTGAATGATTTTGACACTAAACACGTTTTTTTCTTTTTACATATTTTTTAATGCTACCCTTTAACCTCCCTGGCGGTATGATTATTTCAGATTTTTGGTGCTGAAAGCGGTACCATTATTTTGCATGGAAATATGTCGTTTTTTTATTGTAGGCTGTAATATTTAGTTATAACTCACTGAAATCTGTCCGAACAAGAGTCTATTAAACATCCCGGGTAGGATAAAATTTGAAACACAAAATCATAAATTATAATTTAATAAATAATCACAAAAAATAATAATATAATAATAATACATTTAATTCAATAATATAATCAAACCAAAAACACTGAAATTTGAAATATAGCTCCAAGTTCGCACATCGCTGAGCAAAGTCTCAAAATTGTTTTCAGTGTCTGATGACGAATTTCCCCCACGAATCATTATCACTCAATTCTGCAAGTGGTTCTGATTTACTATCGTTGTTCTCTAGCTGATCTAAACCCGCTTTTGACCTAAAGGGACGCTTTTTGGACGCCATGGACTTTTCTAAGTTTCCAGGCAGAAAGAAGAGTAAAAATGCAGGCAGGGCGCCGGACAAAGCACTCGGGACAAAATGTATGTGAAATGGTTTTAAACAGCAATGTTTTACTATATAAAATTTGTTTTGAAAAAAATGACATAGAAGCCAGATGCTGGCATCAGCTGGAGGAGATGGCCGGGGACGCTGCAGGGGACACATCACAGGAGCAAAGGACAAGGTAAGCTCTGCAGGGACTCCCTATGCAATGCCGCATGGTAAGCCCGAGTGTAGCTCGGGGTTACCGCTTTTGGTACTGAAATTGTACCCCGAGCTACACTCGGGAATACCGCCAGGGGGGTTAAGCATAAAAGACCCATACCCTGTCAAATAGTACTTTTAGAAAAAAGTTTGCTTTGGTCCCCTAAAGCAGTGCCCAGCTACCCATGACTTTTTTTTTTCCACAAGCATGTAAAAGTTCTTATAGATTTTAATATGGTTTTGGATACTATGGGAGAGATTTACTAAAACTGGAGCACTCAGAAGCTGATTGGCTACTAACTCACAGCTGCACCAGATTCTAACTTCAGTTTATTCATTTAAGCTTTGGCAATAAAACCTGGAAGCTGATTGGTTTCTCTGCAGAGCTGCACCAGATTTTACACTTTCAGTAAATAAACTCCTATGGTAGAGATTTACTAAAACTGGTGCAAACAGATTTTGGTGCTGCTGTGCATAGTAGCCAATCAGCTTCCAGGTTTTATTGTCAAAGCTTAATTGAACAAGCTGAAGTTAGAAGCTGATTGGTTACTATTAGAGATGAGCGAATCGAACTTGGCGAAGTGGAATTCGTTTCGAATATTAGGAAAAATTCGATTCGCATCGAATCCGAATTTTAGCAAACTTCGGGTGCACGAATCGAATTTTTCCCGATCAGCCGGCAAAAGTGTCACTGCAGAGAGCTCCGCTATTTCTGACAGTTCTCCGACAGTTCTGACAGTTCATTTACAGCGGTTGAAACATTGTATCTATTTGTTTCCATTTAGGATACAGATGTTTTATTCGGAAACAAATAGATACAATGTTTCAACCGCTGTAAATGAACTGTCAGAACTGTCAGAGAACTGTCAGAAATAGCGGAGCTCTCTGCAGATACACTTTTTGCTGTACTGGAATTCTTCTTTTTTCATTCTTCTTCTTCTTTTCATTCTTCTTCTTCTTCTTTTCATTCTTCTTTTTTCATTCTTCTTCTTCTTCTTTTCATTCTTCTTCTTCTTCTTTTCATTCTTCTTCTTCTTCTTTTTCATTCTTCTTTTCATTCTTCTTCTTCTTCTTTTCATTCTTCTTTTCATTCTTCTTCTTCTTTTTTCATTCTTCTTTTCATTCTTCTTCTTCTTTTCATTCTTCTTTTCATTCTTCTCATTTTCTTTTAATTCTTCTTTTCATTCTTCTTCTCATTCTTCTTTTCATTCTTCTTTTCATTCTTCTCATTCTTCTTTTCATTCTTCTTTTCATTCTTCTTCTTTCTTCTTTTCATTCTTCTTCTTCTTTTCATTCTTCTTCTTCTTCTTTTCATTCTTCTTTTCATTTCTTCTTCTTCGTTTTTTTCATTCTTCTTTTCTTTTCATTCTTTTTTTCATTCTTCTTCTTTTTTCATTCTTCTTTTCTTCTTCTTCTTTTCATTCTTCTTCTTCTTCTTTTCATTCTTCTTTTCTTCTTCATTCTTCTTTTCTTCTTCTTCATTCTTCTTCTTCTTCTTCTTCTTCTTCTTCTTTTCATTCTTCTTCTTCTTCTTCTTTGTCGTGCCCCGTGACTGCCCAAATGAGTGAAGTGTGCGGTGATTCTAAGATCGACGGCACTCATCTGCATGTCATACTGACTGACAGTATTATTTCTCTTCCCCAGCAGACTCCAAGGGCATTTAAATTAAAGGTACAGTGTTCTGCACTAATATAAAGGCTCTCTGAAGCCTAGAAACCCTTTAAATAAGTTAAATTCGCGGTGAATAAATTTGCATCGAATCGAATTTCTCCCGCAAATTCGGCAAATCAGCCGAATCGAATTTTTGAATAATTCGCTCATCTCTAGTTACTATGCACAGCTGCACTAGAATCTGTTTGCACCAGTTTTAGAAAATCTCTACCATAGGGGTTTATTTACTGAAACTGGAGAGTGCAAAATCTAGTGCAGCTGTGCAGAGAAACCAATTAGCTTCTAGGTTTTATTGCCAAAGCTTAATTGAACAAGCTGAAGTTAGACACTGATTGGCTACTAACTCACAGCTGCACCAGATTCTGAGTGCTCCAGTTTATGTAAATCTCTCCCATAGTGTCCAAAACCATATTAACCACTCGCCCTCCAGAGGATTTACCCCCCTTCCTGACCAGGCCATTTTTTGCGATAAGGCACTGCGTTCCTTTAAATGACAATTGCACGATCATGCAATGCTTTACATAAATAAAATGTATGTCCTTTTTTCCCACAAATAGAGCGTTCTTTCGGTGGTATTTGATCGCCTCTGCGTTTTTTATTTTGCACTATAAACATAAAAACAAAACAATTTTGAAAAAAAAAAAACTATTTTTGACTTGTTGCTATTAAACATGGCCAGTAAAAAAATTTAAAACATCAAATTTCATAATACATTTAGGCCAAAATGTATTCTGCTTCATGTCTTTACTAAAATAAAATCCCAATACGTGTAAATGAATTGGTTTACGTGAAAGTTATAGCATCTACAAAAAAGGCGATATAGATACTGAGGGGTTTTTTTTACTAGTAATGGCAGCGATCAGTGACTTATAGTGGGACTGTGGGACTGAGGCAGGCATTCTGACACTGGAGGGGAACTGACTAACTGCCACTGACATCCCCAGTGACACTAATACAGTGATCAGTGCTAATAAAAAGCACTGACACTGTACTAATGACACTGGGCAGGAAGGGGTTAACATCTGGGATGATCAAAGGGTTAACTGTGTGCTGTTTTACTGTGTGCTGTGTGTGTGCTTTACACTATAAGCACACTACTTTGTATGTCTCTGCTATGCAGAGCCATACAAAGCAGTGTGCCAGAGCAGACAGGGGAGAGATCTGTGTTGTTTATACACAGGTCTCTCCCCGGTCAGTAATACTCAGCAATCGCTGGGTGCCGGTGACGAATCACCATCCCGGACCTAGTGATTGACAGCCAAGGCTACGAATAGTGGCGTGCTCCCTACCTGGAACTGCAAAATCACGTATATATGTATGCGATTTTGCGCACCCGTGGCGCCCCATAGTAGTATTTCTGCTATAGGGCGGCACGGAAGCGGTAAAGTCTATGAGTTCAACAGTTTTAGTAAATGTCCCCTTATGTGCAAGGTTTGAGGATGTTTTCTTGTCTGGCACATTTCCAGTAAACCTGAATTTTGCATACTTCACTGATGGCTGACCAGAAGGCATATGAAAAAAAGGTATGCAAAAAAAAAAAAAAAGCATGCAAGGGAGCAATAGCATGAGGTTATACTCTAGTAACTACTGCATAAGTGCATTTTATAGAAGCTGGGAGTAGAGATTTCATCTATGGCATTTGCCTTTTGCAGCTGGCCGAATAAACTAATGTTGTTAAGTAAACAACAGTTCCGAAATGAGATTTTGTTCCAGTGAATAGAAAATAATAAAGAGAAGTTGGGAACTAAACAACCATGGTGCTAAGTCATGTGTTTAGGTTATTAAAACAAATCTGGAAAGGTGACTTTCATGATTATGAACTAAATGTGATTTGATCTATTTTCCTTATTTCTATAAAGAAGATCACAGCATACACTTTCATTTTATACCATCAGCGTTGTCATAACAATACAAAAAATAGTTATTTTTGACAATCCAGCTTACTCTAAAAATCTCCTTTCATGTTTTGAGTTCTGCCTGTCTGCTGCCATCTCTTTCCACAGATTCCTGGATTCCCTGCATGCTTTGCAACATCTCTTCCATTTCTAAGGACTACATATCCTATGGCACCTTGCTGTCTGCAAGCAATGATTACTGTACTGACTCCGCCCCCTGAAACTCCTCCTCTCAGTTAAGAAGGCAGGTTCTGTGACATGTGTGACACAGCAGTGCCTATGTCACGTACCTGATGGGAGACTGAATTGACGAGGTCGGGCTCACTTGTGTCACTAGTCCTGACCCCGCTGATGTTGGAACAGAGGGAGTCTAAGGGCCAGGGGGACAAGAGCGCCAGTGGTTTGCTTGTGGCTCTTGTGGATGATGGCCTTGGTAGGCAGGGTAGCAGTTGCTTAGGGCACTGCAGCGATAGCACAGGCAGATTCGGTGGATTGCCAGATGCACGGCAGAGCCAGGTATGCAGCCAGGAGACAGGACTGGAGCGGAGCTGTAAGGAGCCCAGGCAGGTTTGGCGGATTGCCAGATGCACAGCAGAGCCAGGTATGCAGCTAGGAGACAGGACTGGAGCGGAGTTGCAGGATATCCAGGGTCATAACAGTCGGGCAGCGTGGTGCCAAAGTCAGGATCACAGCCAAAGTCGGGAACCAGGGACAGGAGAGTACTCAGAGTCAGGAACAAGCCGGGTCAGCAACAAGGAACATGTATTGAAACAGGCAGGAAACAGGGGGGAAGCTGAAGACCAGTCAGCACTGAATCAGCACCACTTTAAATAGCCCGCCCAGCGCCGACAGGTGCGCCTGGGTCCTAGTGCCTGCCCAGCGCCGTCATTGGTGACAGGCGCGCCTGGGTCCTAGTCCCCGCCTGCCTATATGCCTGTTCGGGATCCTGCGCATGCGCAGATTCATGCGCTGTGGCGATCTTCTTGTTCCCTGACAGCCTACCCACAGGGCATAGTGAATCTGCATCACAATATTCAGGGAAATGTGTGGGGATCTTCACAAAGTAAGTTTACACCACTTAACTACTTGACCTCTGGAAGGTTTTACCCCCTTAATGACGAGTATTTTTTTTTTATTCAGCACTGCACTACTTTAACTTGCTTGGTCTTGCAATGCTGTACCCAGCTGAAATTTATATCACTTTTTTCACACAAACAAGCTTTCTTTTGGTGGTATTTGATCACAACCGTTTTTTTTTATTATATAACTTAAAAAAGACCGAACATTTTGGAAACAAAAACAATATGGTCTACTTTTGTAATAAAACATACCATTAAAAAATAAAAAAAAATTTAATTTCTTCATAAATTAAGACAAAATGTATTCTGCTACATGTCTTTGGTGGAAAAAAATTCCAAGAAGTGTATATTAACTGTCTTGTGTGAAAGTTATAGCATCTCCAAACTATGATATTGTATATATTTACCGGAATTTATGAAGTCATGACACTATACCCGGTAATGGTGGTGATCAGTGACATATAACAGGATTGTGATAGTGTGGCGGACAATCTGGTACTAGCAGACCCTCATTGGGAGGTACACTAACTGACTAACTGACACCGACATCAACAGTGACTCTAATACAGTGATCAGATATAATACTATACATTGACACTGAAATAATGACACTGGCTGGGAAGGGGTTAACTCTTTGGGGCAATCAAGGAGTTAACTGAGTGCCTAACAAGTGTGATTTGTGCTCCTTTTACTTACATATCTGGCTATTTTGCAGGGAGAAGAAACAACAACAGATTGCTGGTCTGTGTACAGAGCCCTGTGTGTCCGTAAACACAGGGTTCTGTGCTGTAATTGGCTGCAGCCGATCAGCAGGTCTCTAGCTTAAATCATTGGCTGGGACCTGCTGACAAAATTGCACGTGACAGCATGGGTTAGCAATGGTGCGCACAGGCATGCACGCCCCAAACAGTGGTGTATTTAGGTTTTGTGCTGCCCTAGGACACAAAAATCACCCCCCCTGCAGAGAGATCCTGACACCAATCAACACCACCCCCCCCCCCACCCAAGAGAGCCCTCCACTACCACCACCCTCCATACACCGGCCACCCCACCCCCCAGCAAGAAAGAGAAGGACACTCACCTTCACAGCTCCAGACATCCCCTGGAATTAGAGTCAGGCTCTGCATACACCATCAAGCAGCCCGCAGCCTCTCTCAGATCCCACCTGATACCCATGCTGCGTGTTTCCCTTCTTCCATCTCTTGTTGCAGGGGGCAGTGCTGTCCCCCCTTGAAAAATGCCGCCCTAGGCAAATGCCTTGTGGTAAATACACCCCTGCGTAGGATACCCAACATTAGAGGTGATTTATTCTTCCAAAGCAAATACACTTTTGCACCCTGGTACTGACTAGTATTCCAGTGTTTCTCCTCTCCCTCAGTTTTTCTCCATCCCTGAGCTGATGTGACCCTAGCACTGATGGAGAGGGGCAGGAGAGGGTCAAGCTAGGATGCTCTGCAGGTAATCGACATCCTGCTTATCAACTGATGATGTCATTGGTTGTCAGGACGCACGGCAGATAGAAGATCATAATGGTGCACAATGGAAACCTGTGGCTTTGTGTAACTAAAAGGCAGGCTTGTTCCACCCGCTGGCTTGTATACAAGTTTTGGGCAATTTTTAGACATTTTGCCAAGGCACACCTGAAGAAACCTCAAAGCACCCCGGGGTGCCTGGGCACCCTGGTTGAGAAAGGCTGGCCTAAGGGACGGTTCACACCAGGATTGCATTAGAATGAGTGCATTTCTGTGCGGAGCATTATGACAACCCAATACAAAATGCACCAGACTGTGCAAAAAGTAGTGTTTAAAATTGAACTGCACCAACCCACATGGTACTATGGTACCAATGTGATTTGATTCCTGCAACTGCACTGGGTTTTGCGATCTGCATTTGGGGTGCTGTTAACAATACATTGGCACCTGCATGCATATTGCAAGGGCAGCATGTTCACCTGTGGTGCGGGAAATGTGCACGGAATCCTCCTTTCCTACAACACGTTCTGACGCAAGGCGGCCATAAGAGATTTCAATTATGTGGGGTTTTTTTATGTACAGGCGTACCTCGGTTTACAAATTTAATGCGTTCTCCAGGATGTTTCGTATTGCCAAAAATTCATAAACCGAAACGTGGTTTCCCATAGGAATGCATTGAAAACCAATGAATCCATTCCGGAGGTCTGAAAAAAGAAAAAAAAAAAAAAGAATTTTATCTGTTCAAAACTCTTTATAAAGTACACTTTAAAGGCATAAATACTGTACAGGGACATGATTAAAAATTAATTTGTAAATGCATTGAAAACAAATTAATCCGTTCCGGAGGTCAGAAAAAAGTAAAAGAAAGCCTTATCTACTCAAAACTCTTTATAAAGTGCACTTTAAAGGCATGGGGCCAGCGCTATAAACCTCCCAGGTGCAATGCATCCTGGGGAAACTTGCTTCGTATTGTGAAAAAAAATGAGTAAATAATAGTTTTCCTGACTGGAGTTCTTTTGTAAAAATGGATTCTAAATAAATATTTGTGTAAAAATGCCCCGAAAGTAAAAAAGGAGAAGCAGTGTATTATGTACGTGGGTGATTCAGTCTCTGCCCGTATCACCCACCTACTGAACGACATATCAGACTGGATGTCGCTCCATTTCCTCAAATTGAACCTTTGCAAAACCGAGCTCCTGATTTTCCCCCCAGCCCTTGCCCCCCCCCCACCCTCTCCATCATGACCAACAACGCCACCATCAGTCCCACCCCACAAGCCAAAGTTCTAGGTGTCACTCTAGACTCAAACCTATCCTTCCAACCCCATGTCCAATCGTTGGCAAACTCATGCAGGCTCCACCTCCGCAACATCTCCAAAATATGTTCGTTCCTAACCCCAGACACTACTAAACAACTCGTTCACTCCCTTATTATCTCATGTCTGGACTACTGCAACTCCCTTCTCCTCACCGGCCTACCTCATTGCAGACTATCCCCGCTTCAGTCTATCCTGAACTCAGCGCCCAGACTCATCCACCTTACCAACCGCTCCGCATCTTCCACCCCCCTCTGTCATTCCCTCCACTGGCTCCCGATCGCCCAACGCATTAAATTCAAACTACTAACACAGACATACAAAGCCATTCATAACGCCACCCCAAACTACCTCACCGACCTGATACCCAAATACCACCCTACCCGTAATCTCCGCTCCTCACAAGACTTCCTACTTTCTAGCTCCCTGGTCTCCACCTCCCACGCCCGACTGCAGGACTTCTCCAGGACTTCCCCCATCCTCTGGAACTCACTACCCTAATCCATCAGACTGTCACCTACCCTCCTCACCTTTAGGCGCACCCTGAAAACCCATCTCTTCAGGGAAGCCTATGCCACTCTCACCTAACAGCCGATCTCCTCCACTCCTCCTACCACTCCATCCCCCACAGCCACTTCCTCCTGTACCACTATCCCCTCCCTCCTAGATTGTAAGCTCGAAAGAGCAGGGCCCTCGAACCCCTCATGTATTGTATTGTTACTGTATTGTCTCATGTTCTGTCCCCCACTATAATGTACAGCGCTGAGCAAACCTTTTAGCGCTTTATAAATCCTGTATAATAATAATAATAATAATAATATACGCAAAAAACAACTTGGCTAATATAGTGTGGTGACATCTTCTGAACTGGTAAATAACACTACATAATGCTGATGCTTACATGCCGTAGGGGGAAAAAAATCTTTCTCTCCGCTACAGATAATTGTAAGAACTGATTATGTAAATATATCCACAAACAAAGGCATTCTTTATCTGCAGCATGAAGCAGTGCAGGCTAATTGCTAAATTATTTTTTAAGACTTTAGCTTATATATTTAACAATGCAAATTTAAATAAAGAACAGCCATGTAACATGTTACATAATTAATAACATTGAAAGAGAACAAATCACAATGAGGTTAAGTAAAAACTTGAATATTTAGCCTTCAATTATTTTAATATTTAACTTGCATACAAAAGATGTATATTTGTCCACACTTTTATTTTAGATATAATTACCTTGCCTGGAGCTCAGCGTTCGAAATGAGAAATCTCCTAAAAGTATGACAGTTGCTGCCCTTTTGCTAATAACACCGATTGTGTTCCAGCTCTGATATGTGTATCTTAGTATTAAATAACCTAGAACCAGGGGCGGACTGACCATTTGGAAACTCGGGCACTGCCCGAGGGCCCGGGGTCAGTAGGGTGGCCCCATGAGATGCCCCTGGTACCTTTTTCATAGGCTTTTTTTGAGTTTGGGCAAGGACATAGGGGCCCCATGATCCCCTATTGCCCGGGGGGCCCCATGAGTTGTCAGTCCGCCCCTGCCTAGAACTATAGTTAAAGTGTTTGTTAGCATAAATATTTTATTTTCTACGTGTGTGTTCCCGTATTTGTATTTTATAAATAATAGTCTCTATCATTTTTATGTACTTTATGTATGTGAAGTATATGGTCAATCCTGCCAGTCACCTTTATTCCCTCTTCTAAACTGGCCAGACAAATCACAGAATCTGATCTGTATTAGTGTGATCAGTCTTCATCCTTTGGCTGGCCTTTCAGTGGTAGAGGACACTGTGCAGACACACAGCATGCCTGTATTGTGTACTGTATTTTTTTTTTTCACTGTGTTCCCCCAACCAATCACAACCCACATCTGACACACTCCCCCTCCCAATCACAGTTTGCCTCTTTAACCACATGCCCTCCAGAAGATTTACCCCCCTTCCTGACCAAGCCAATTTTTTTGATACGGCGCTGCGTTACTGATAATTGCGCGGGTCGTGCAATGCTGCACCCAAATGTAATTTATGCCCCTTTTTCCCACAAATAGAGCTTTCTTTTGGTGGTATTTGATCACTCCTGTGTTTTTTATTTTTTTGTGCGACAATTTTGAAAAACAAATATATACCGTATTTTTCGCTCCATAAGACGCACTTTTTTCCCCCCAAAAAAGGGGGGAAAATGTCAGTGCATCTTATGGAGCGAATATAAAGCCGCCAGTCCGGTATTTCTGCCGCCACCGTGTCAGAATACCGGGCCAGCCGCTCAGTTGTTCTCTGCGGCAGGAACTTCACCTGTTCCTCGGTCTGGCTCTGTTGTACCCCCCCTAGTATGTATGATGCATGCATATTTTTAGCCCCCAAGTGCAGAACCTTACATTTATCAACATTAATCCTCATTTCCCACATATTTTCCCAATTACACAGAGCATTGAGGTCGGCTTGTAAGTTGGAGACATCCTGTAAGGACGTTATTCCCCGGCACAGCTTGGTGTCATCTGCAAAGACTATAGATAGTTGCCCACAAAGTGGAGAGCTTCTATATACAGAGGTATGTCTGTACTGAGGTCTGTCTGAGGCAGGGGCGGACTGACAACTCATGGGGCCCCCGGGCAATAGGGGATCATGGGGCCCCTGTGTCCTTGCCCAAACTCAAAAAAGCCTATGAAAAAGGTATTAGGGGCATCTCATGGGGCCCCCTACTGACCCCGGGCCCTCGGGCAGTGCCCAAGTTTCCAAATGGTCAGTCCGCCCCTGGTCTGAGGGTTTTTGTGAAACTCTCACTCTTCTCCTTCTTGTCTGTGCAGGTGCTTCTGGGACCAGCCAGATCATTTTGATGTGACAGTGCTGACCAATCCGAATCATCCTGATCCATGATGGAATAAAAAGGAAAAGAGCGGGGATTTGAAATCCCTGGTCCCCTGGACCAGCTGCAGGGGTGATGACAGCTCAGAGGTAAGTACAATGGGGAGGGGAGGGTGTCCGGTGTTAATTTTACTTTATTTTTTTGTAAGATAGACTAACCCTTTAAATCCTTTGTGTTCATCAATCAATTACAGTTCATGAATTCAATGAAGGTGTAGTATACAAATATTGTACAGGATCCAAAACACCAAATGTTCCTGAAAATACCTGCAATGTAAATCCACCACCGATCACAGGAATTTGACATCCATCCTAGTAGTATTGCTTAGACCCTGAAGAAGGGGACATTCCCTGAAAGCTTGTCCTCAAAATTGTATGTTAGTGCAAATAAAAAAAGTATCATGGACAGTAAACAATTGTTTCTGTTTACATCCATCCTAACAAAGCAATGTTTGACAGATTCAGGCAGGTTGCAGATTCAATGCTAAAGCTGGAAATTCATTCAAGCTTGGCAGCATATTTAAGCACCTGAATGGTCATTTACAGTATAGTTTAAAGGAAATCCTACTTTTTTAAAAAAAAAAAATGTTTTATCAATGTCATTCCTACTAGAGCCTTTTTCTGTTTCATTTTATTAAAATATACCTTTCCATATAATCCACATCCCAATTTTCTTACAACTGCCAAATAATTTAAATGACATTTGCTGGTAACCATGGCAACTCAATGTGTTCTGCACTCTTGAATGCCCTAGAAATGTCATTTCCTGCTCACGTGATTGGCTAGCTGCTTTTCCTAACATTGGCTCAATCATCAAAGCAGGCTGGCTTTTCCACTTAGCAAGAAGGAATTTTACTTTAAGGCACCATTCACACCTGTACGTTTTAGGTGTGGTAAGGTTAAAAATAAAAAATCCTGCTTGTTGCATTTATAATCTAATTATTGTATTTATTATTTGCCAATTATAAAACCTTTCCCTCATAATAGGAGAATTGCATGCAGAGGAAAATGTTAAACACCTTTTAAAGTGGTATTAAACCCCAAAACCAACACTATATTGCAGCTTACCAATCATGTGGTGGCTGCAGGGGCGGGCTGACCATTCCAGCAGTCAGGCACTGCCCGAGGGCCCGGGGTCAGTAGGGGGCCCCATGAGATGCCCCTGGTACCTTTCATTGGCTTTTTCCTAGGCTTTTTTGGGTGTGGGCAAGGAAACAGGAGCCCCATGATCCCCTATTGCCCGGGGGCCCCATGAGTTGTCAGTCCACCCCTGGGTGGCTGCTTTAGTTTTTATCTTTTTTTTTTTTCCCCTCTGTTTTCATGTGGTCATCTGGCCAGTAACACGCAGGATGCGCCCACACTTTGTATTAACCACTTCAAGTCCGGACACTTTCACCCCCTTCCTGTCCAGGCCAATTTTCAGCTTTCAGTGCTATCACACTTTGAATGACAATTGAGCAGTCATGCAACACTGTACACATATGAATTTTTTTAGCATTTTTTTAAACAGATAAAACTTTATTTTGGTAGTATTTATTCACCACTGGGATTTTTATTTTTTTTGCTATGTAAATGAAAAAGTCCAAACATTTTGAAAAAAAAAGTGTTTTTCTTATAACATTTTGTAAATAAATAATCTTTCTTCATAAATCTTGGGCAAAATGTATTCAACTATCTTTTTAGTAAAAAAAAAAAAAAAAAAATAACCCAAATTAGTTTATAGCGAAAAATTATAATTTTTAAAATTGTGTTTTTACATTTTTATTTTATTTTTTTATTTGTTTTTTTTTTTTTAACATACCATCATCCTAGCAGTACAGTTTCACCATAGTGACACTGTACTACTTGTGGGGGGTGATGAAGATTTTTTCCTTTTTTAACACTGATTGCTTTTACACCCATAAAGGCTGTAAAAGCAAGCATTTCTCCTCTCTGGCTGCATTCTTGCAGCCATTGAGAAATACTGTTAGAGGTGTGATTGGTCACACCTTGTCACATTGTACAAGGCTGTTGTGAATAGCCTTGTACCATGTGACCTCTGTGATCAGTCACACATTTTACAAGTAGTAAGCAATGATGTCAGCAAGTGACATCTTGCTTACTGATTCATGTGATCACTGCTTGGCCAATCACATGAATCGGGACCTCACACAGAGGTCCTGTACAGTGATTGGTGTTCCGGTTATGCTGGAGGACACAGCGGGCACCAGATCGCGGTGCCACGCACTCCCAGGGAGCGCACACAGGCAGTGAATGCGGGGGCCGTTTCAGGGGCGGACTGACAACTCATGGGGCCCCCAGGCAATAGGGGATCATGGGGCCCCTGTGTCCTTGCCCATACTCAAAAAAGCCTATGAAAAAAGGTACCAAAGGCATCTCATGGGGCCCCCTACTGACCCCGGGCCCTCGGGCAGAGTTTGAGTTTCCAAATGGTCAGTCCGCCCCTGGGCCATTTATAAATGGCCACCCGCTTCGGCACTGCTCCCATCTGGCCGTTTATGTACATAGCCCGGACGGGAAGTGGTTAAGGAGCACAGAGGACACCTTTGGACAGCACCACGGTCAGTCTGGGGAGAGGGGAGTGTTAGATGTATTAGCAGATTTAGATACACTAACAAATTGAAGCCAATCTCCAGCTCACGCTTTACAACCTGTTACATCAACAGTCTTTTTTTTCCTTTTGGAATAACGGTTTTACATGAATATATAAAAAAAAACTGACCATTGCAAGCACCCTGGTCAGTGGTAAATGATGTGTCTCAGCTGTCTAACTGCTACATTTGCAGGAGAGCTTGTTCTGTTGAAAAATGACAGACTTACTGGCAGGATCACCAGGTGAAAATAAAGGAAAGAAAGACTAAAAGAAAAAAAACAATGCAGCCATCACATCTAAGGCCTTGTGCACACAGGGCATTTGTCTAGCTTTCCTAAAAGCCTTTCTTCCTGGCAGCAACATTTTGGCAAAAAAATTGAAGCTTGAAGTGCAGACTCATTTAAGCATGTCAAGCACTTGGTTGGTATTTCTGGCTATCTGACTACATTCAAGCGCTAAATGTGCCTAGTGTTAATGCTTGTTTAGATGCATTTAGACACATTTACACACATTTAGGTGCATCAAGGTTTTTCTGCCAAAACTCTGCTGCCCTTGGTTGTGCTGGGGGTGTTTTTTTTTACGCCTCTAAATGCCTATTTGTGCATGGACACATAGGCTAACATGGAGGGGTTTTAGAGAAAAAAAATCCAAATGCCCCTAAAAGCAGTGTTTTTAACTCTCAGTGTGCATGAAGCCTACTAATTGATATGCTGCAATATAATAAATGCTTGCTTTTGGGATTAATACCACTTTAACCAGCTCCAAAAGAATTTACTCCCTTTACGACCTGGCCATTTATTTGGCACTTCGCTACTGTAACACCCTGCTATTGTTCCGGCTGCAGGATGTTAAAAGAGACACAAGGGTGTCTCTTCAGTGGAACACACTCTATTAAAAAGCTTTATGGATTTTGTAGGCTGAACCTCAGGACTTTGCTGGATGGCAGAGAACTAGGAGACTACATTTCCCAGAGGAGCTTGCGTGTGGGCAGAGGGATATGAATGTAGAAGCCTGGGAACCTGGGAGGCAAAAAGTGAGCAGAGAGAGAGAGATGGAAGGAAGGTGTGCTAAAAGCTGTGCAGAATGCTGGAGGATCAGACCTGGCCATAGAGAGGGAGAAAGTGGAGAGAACAGGAGGAATAGCTGACCACTAACTTTGCCAAAGAGTCTGGGGAACTATCCAGTTGGCTGGAGACATGGAGAGCTGCTGACATGAATCAACTTTGCAAGAGGAACCGCAGGACCGCTTGGGCCCCCCATCTACAGGGAGACCACAAAAGACCCTAGCAATTCCACAGATTGGGTGAGAGAATCCCATTCTGCAGACAATTAGGTCATCCCTGACATTCTTTGGAATCAGCATTTCTCTATCTATTTACTGACATTGTTCACAAGTTACAGATATTGAGGCCTAGTTCACCCAGCCTATCGGCAAACACATTTTCAGCATAATTCAGTTATCAGAGCCTAGTGCCTGCCACAGCAGTGCTTGTATTGTATTTGGTCCACTTTCATCAAGGGACACTGTCCATTGCTGCAATTTGCTACGGTGGCCTATAGGGGGATCAACCTTTGCCAACAAGTGCTTTTGCCCGCTCTTTTGCCCCTTATTTAAAATCTTCACTTCAGTTTGAATGTCACAAGGGGTACTGCCCAACCTGAATGTTGCTTAAAAGGGTTAGTGCTTGTTCTTACATTAATCCTCTAAAGAACTTCCACCTATTGTGCCCAAGGAGATTTGAATTTTTGTAGTGCACCAACTGGGCCCCAGCAAGTGCACAGAAGATCTTCCACTGCAGTTAAAGGGACTTTAGCTTCCTAATTAAAGAGCTATTTCTTTATCTCATGTTTGAAACTTGTCATCAGCTTCCGAGGGCCCAAAGTGAGCTAGCCTTACTCTTTAGTAGGTTCCTTTACTCACTAGGGACAGAAACATCTCAGAGTTGAGGCCCTTGGTTAAATCCTCACTTGCAAGACTGATTGAGATTTTTGCTGTATGTATAGACTTTTTGCATAAACTTACTAAAAGTGATAACTGTCATTATATGCACGCCTTTTACTTTGTGCTACTTTACTGTGCTCACATTCAACTCTAATATAAACAAAATATCAGTTCACTCAAACTGGTGTGCGAGTGTATTTTCTGGTGATAGTGAGAGAGTTTACTCTGGCCAGAAGTGTATGGTGGTGTCAGCAGGGGTTGAGCTTTCAGAATGGGGTCAAGAGCGACAGGGAACCCAAAAATAACTCAGTGACCCCTAAGGGGGTAGTGCTACACTACTTTAATTGACAATTGTGTGGTCATGCAACACTATACCCAAATGAAAAGTATACCATTTTTTCACACAGCATAGTGTGTTCTTTTGTTGGTATCACCACTTGGGTTTTTATTTTGTATTATATAAACAAAAAAAAGACCAAAAATTTTGAAAAAAAAAATTTACTCTCTGCTATAAAACATATCAAATTAAAGATAAATTAAAAAAAATTAAATTTCTTCATAAATTTAGGCCAACATGTATTCTGCAACATGTCTTTGGTAAAAAAAAAAAAGTGTATATTAATTGGTTTGCATGAAGTTATGGCGTCTACAAACTATAAGATATGTACTGGAATTTTTTTTTCTTTTTATACTAGTAATGGCAGTGATCAGCGACTTATAATGGGCAATCTGACACTAGCTGACGCTGGCTAAGGGGTACACTAACTGACTAACTGACACCACTAGTGACACTAATACAGTGATCAGTGCTAATACTATATACTGTCACTGTACTGATGACACAGGCTGGGAAGGGATTAACATCTAGGGGTGATCAAGGGTTTAAACGTGTGCCTAACATGTGTGATATGTGCTGTTTTTAGTAAGCAATAATGTTTTTTTTCCCTGCTTTGCAGAAGAAAAAAAGAAAAACCAGCAGGATTGCTTCTCTATGTACAGTGACCAGTGTTGTTTATCAACACTGGGCTCTGTGCTGTGATTTGGTGAGCAGATCAGCCAGTCCCAGCCATCAATCACTGATCGGGACCAGCTGATCAGGTACGTGATCCAGAGCAGAATGGCCGCCAGTATATCTGGCAGTAAGTTAAAGCAGTATTAAACCCAAAAGCAAACATTTATTATGTTTGACAGCAATAAAGACCTCACAGAGGTTGTAACCTTTTCCAATTATATTTTAAAAAATGTTGGTTTTGCATATACTTCAAAAATGAAAAAGATATTTGCCATTTTTTTGTTGTGTAAAATGAGAAAATAAGGTAAGCAGTTTCAACAGAACACACAAAATAACAGACTAAAAAAAAATGAATGGCAAAGGAACAATAAAAAATGACATAGCAGATTAATATTTTATGCTTTGTGAACGTTTGCACATAAACAAGCTGGGAAAGCTTAGCGACAGTCCAAAGAACAATGCTTTATTAAAAAGGTAATAGGCACTTTTAAATAACCACATAAATATTAATAGGGTTGCAAAGCATTTTGTAAACATTTGCTGTGTACGCAAATACACCGAGCTCCGAGTGTGTTCTTATACATTAGCATTGTAATGATCTTCACAATTTTACGAAGCAGAAAAGTGAGATGGAAAAACCTTTAATTAAAAAAGTAGCTTTTATATACCACACTGTCAGTTTTTAATATTCATTTTTCTTTGTTATATATATATATATATATATATAAAAACAATTTTTTTTTTTTTTCCTAACACTTTAATGTTTTTTTTTTTGTGTGTGTCATTGCACCGGGGGCCATTTTGGTGTTTATTGCCATTGAAGGCAAATAAAAAAAACAATTCTTGCACTCTATTGACTGTAGTTTTACAAGTACTAGAGTCCCTAGGTGAAACCTGTGCCGATTTTTGTGAGGGG